TATATATATATATGCGCACGAAACGCGGAACTTTCGATGTTGAAAGAATTCAAGCATGCGTGACACGTGTACTTTATAATACACGTGTGCCCTCTTACGATCACGAACGATACATCGTACATGGTATCTCGGTCTCGAATCGGTCAGATTCGACGAAGAAAGAGAGAGAAAGAGAGAGAAAGAGGGGGAGGGAGAGCGATCCGCCACAGGAGTGAAACTCGTCTTCACTCCTCCTTCTTCTCATCTCTTCTTCTTCTTCTTCTTCTTCTTACTCCCGCCTGCTAGTTACAATTAGGGTTAATTAGCACGCGTAAGCGAGAAATCGCAATTGGAGCACAGACGTGTATAGCAACAGCATCACGTCGCTCTCTCCTCCCAGTCGACTTTCCATACGGTTTTGCTGGATGTCGTATAGCTTTGTCTTCGAGCGATACTACGCTTGTTTGGCGGAGCTGTAATGGAACTTTCGATTGCGGAGATATACGGTGGCCTTACGTGGAGGGACACGATGCAGAGCGATTTTAATTCGAATTGTGTGATTTGAAAGGTGATTTGGAGAATTTAAAGAAAAAAGAAAAAAGGAAAAAGGATAACGGGATCGTTGAATTTTTCTTTTTGATTAATTTTTTTACGCGCGTTGGAATTTTTCATTCAAATTTCCTCTCCTTTTTTGTTGTTTTTTTTTTTATAGATATTGCGTAGAGTTTTTTCTCAGAACTTCTTTTTTTTTTTTTTTATTATAGTTCAAACGTGTTAAAACAGCTAATGGAACGGTTAAATGTTTTTGCGTGAAACGATATGCTGCTCTTTCGACGGATGAAACTTTCAAAACTCTGAGAGAAATGATAGTGTCTGGAGTGTGGAGAGAGATGGACGAGGTCGAGGACCGTAGTGATTTATTTGTTAGAATTTCTATTAGAATTTTTCGAAGAATTTTCTGTACTCGATATATTCGAATTTATTCATTTATTCGATTATAATCTCGCAATCAAAGCTAAAGCATTTCTTCGTTTTGAAAATTCTAAAAACAATGAATGATAAAGATTATCGAGATCTATTTTAAATTTAAAGGATTAAAAATAAACGTGATATAAAACTTATTAGATTAAATTTAACCACTGGAGGAGTCAAATTAAATCACGATTGATGAAGGATCAACACGTTTCTTTTATAAATAATTGTTTCCACTCCGCGCAACTGATATTACAAGGATAATTTAATAATTGTTTCAAAACCTCGCAGTGGAAATCGCAATTTTCTATGAAAACAGGTATCATGGAACGTCCTTCGTTTACTATATTTACCATCTTCAACGTCATTAACCTGCAGTCCTACTATGTTAATGAGACACACGATTATATCTCGATTCAAGATCATCCTCGTATCTGGTGAAAGGCTCACCATGCGACCAGTAACGAGTATATCATCGTTTAAAAAAAAATCATATTTCCATCGAAAACACGATTTGAATCACGCAAATAATATATTCATCGTTAAGTAAAATTATTCCTAGTCGCATGATCATATAATAAATCATGATAATATAAGCAATTTAATTTGAGCGGAAGATTAATTTGAAATTTTATAAAATATAAACAAAGATTTGACAACTTCATTTTCTTTATTTATACTTTTATATCATTTATAATTCCTAGAAAGAGAAATATCAAAGTTGAAAAAACAATGACAGCAAAATTTATTACAAAACTTTCCACCATCTAAATTTTCAATGTCGAGTCAAACACGACACGTTATTCCATATTCTGCACCACCGCTTCTCCAATCAATTCTCTCTCTCTCTCTCTCTCTCTCCCTCCAAAGATAAAAAACAAAACCTCCTTATCCTTTCTCTTATAATAAACCATAAAAATTAAACACCTTTTCAATCAATCCAAGAAGATTTAGATTAGCTAAAAATCCCTACTTAAAAAAAAATCAATAATTTTTCTCAAATTCTTCAACGAATATATCAAAGTGAAACCGTGTTGCGCAAATGCCACGTTACTCGATGTTTATCTGTAATTAGATATAGCAGATGCTCGAATGAAATCTTCCTACGTCGTAAGAAAAAGCGGCGTCAAAATACTGGGATCCATCACCAGTAGAGTGTTGAAAAGTAAAAGGGAATCAAAGGAGCGTGAAGAAGCCACGTAGAAGGAGCACCATGCACCACCAACATAGAGGAGCACGAAGCACGTACCGTGGACGTACCGTACGTTTCGGTTAACGCGACCATTGACGACAGTCCGGCCACGTATCTTTAATAACCGGGCGATAAACTCGAACGCGAAATCGCTCGGGGACGAGGCGATCAGCTTGCGCGATACGCTCGACGGTAACACGCGTTCATCGTGCAATTAGGACGGTCACACGCGAATACTTAAACGACAGAGGCGGTCGAAACCAGGCCGTTGTTCCCTTCCACGCACAGGAAGCGAACGTTAAATTGATGAGCACGATAACTCGTCACCCGTCTCCTCTCCGCGAGGGCGAGGAGTCGAGCTGATTTAGGCCTCGTTTGGCTTTCGTTATTCGATCGAAAATGAATATTCTATCTTTTTTTTCTCTTTTAAATCTT